TGAATTAGAAGACAGGGTTGAAAAAAATTACTCAATCAGAGAACCAAAAAGAAAAAAAAAAAAAACAATTAAAAGACAGGAGGACAGCTTAAGGGAGCTGTGGGACAATGTGAAACATAACAATATTCAAATAGCAGTTGTACCAAAAGAGGCAGAAAGTGAGCAACGGATAGAGAATGTGCTTGAAGAAATAATGGCAAAAAAGTTCCCTAAACTGGTAAAGGAAAAAGTCACACAAGTTCAGGAGGCACAGAAAACGCAAAGCAAGAAGAACCCAAACAGATGCATATCCAGACACATCATAATTAAAATGCCAAAAATTAAAGACAAAGAGAGAATCTTAAAGGCAGCAAGAGAAAAGCAAACTGTTACCTACAAAGGAGCTCCCATAAGGCTGACATCTAATTTCTCATCAGAAACACAACAGGCCAAAAGTGAATGGCATGAAGTACTCCAGGTAATGGAAAGCAAGGATCTAAAACCAAAATTACTATATCTAGCAAGACTATCATTCAAAATAGGCAGTCATATAAAAAGCTTCCAAAAAATAAACAAACAAAAAAGGCTAAAGGAATATATTACCACCAAGCCAGCATTACAAGAAATGCTAAAGGGACTGCTATAATGAGAAGCTTCAAACATTGGTTAGCAAAAATCAAACAAAATTGCTTAGCAGTGATTTTGATATGATAGTAAAAGCATAGGCAACAAAAACAAAAATAAACTAATGGGACTACGTTAAACTGAAATGTTTCCTCACAACAAAGGAAAAAATCAAAAGAGTTAGAAAAAGAACCTATAGAATGGGAGAAAATATTTTCAAACCATACATGTGATAAGTGGCTAGTATTCAAAATATGTAAGGAACTCAGACAATTCAGTAGAAACAAATTAGTAATGAAATTAAAGTGGGATAAAGTCTTTATTATACATTTTCTCAAAAAAGAAGACATACAAATGGCTAACAGTTTGTTTATTTATTTATTTGCTTATTTATTTTAACATGCAAGTGTCTTTATTTCATACTGATTTTCCCCAGGTTGTTAACATTTTATTTTTTAAATTTCTTTATTGATTAAGGTATTCCATATGTGTCCTTACCCCCCATTGCCCCCCCACCCCCACTCATGCCCTCACCCCGCTGTTGTCTGTGTCCATTGATTATGCGTACATGCATGCATACAAGTCCTGTGGTTGATCTCTCCCCTTTACCCCAACCCTCCCCTACCTTCTCTCTGAGGTTTGATGGTCTGATTGATGCTTCTCTGTCTCTGGATCTGTTTTTGTTCATCAGTTTATGTTGTTCATTATATTCCATAAATGAGTGAGATCATGTGATATTTATCTTTCTCTGACTGGCTTATTTCACTTAGCATAATGCTCTCCAGTTCCATTCATTCTGTTGCAAATGGTAAGAATTTCTTCTTTTTTATCGCAGCGTAGTATTCAATTGTGTAGATGTACCACAGTTTTTTTGTTTGTTTGTTTTTAATTTTGTTTTATTGCTTAAAGTATTACAAAGAGTAGTACATATGTCTCCTTTTTTTCCCCTTGACCTTCCCCTGACCTCCCCTAGCCCCCAGTGTCTTGTGTCCATTGGTTATGCTTATATGCATGCATACAACTCCTTCGGTTGATCTCTTACCACCAAGGCCCCCCCCCCCCCCCCGCCAACCCTCCCTGGCCTTCACACTGCAGATTGACAGTCTGTTTGATGCTGCTCTGCCTCTGTATCTATTTTTGTTCATCAATTTATCTTTATTATCTGTATATGAGTGAGATCATGTGATATTTATCTTTCTCTGACTGGCTTTCTCCCCTTAGCATAATGCTCTCCAGTTCCATCCATGCTGTGGCAAATGGTATGAATTCATTCTTTTTTACAGCAGCATAGTATTCCATTGTGTAGATGTACCAGTTTTTTAATCCACTCATCTGCTGATGGGCACTTAGGCTGTTTCCAAATCTTAGCTATGGTAAATTGTGCTGCTACGAACATAGGGGTTCGTATATCCTTTCTGGTTGGTGTTTCTGGTTTTTTGGGATGTAGTCCTACAAGTGGGATTACTGAGTCAAATGGGAGTTCCATTTTTAACTTTTTGAGGAAACTCCATACTGTCTTCCACAGTGGCTACACCAGTCTGCATTCCCACCAGCAGTGCACGAGGGTTCCTTTTTCTCCACATCATCGCCAGCACTTGTTGCTTGTTGATTTGTTGATTATAGCCATTCTGACAGATGTGAGATGGTACTGCATTGTTGTTTTGATTTGCATCTCTCAGATGATTAGTGGCTTTGAGCATGTTTTTATGTGTCTCTTGCCCTTCCTTCTGTCTTCTTTCGAAAAGTATCTATTTAGGTCCATTGCCCATTTTTTGATTGGGTTATTTATCTTCCTTTTGTTAAGTTGTATGAGTTCCCTGTAAATGCTGAAGATTAAACCCTTATCGGTGATAACATTTGCAAATATGTTCTCCCATGCAGTGGGCTTTCTTGTTGTTTTGTTAATGGTTTCTTTTGCTGTGCAAAAGCTTTTTTATTTTGATTTAGTCCCATTTGTTAATTTTTTCTTTACTTTCCATTGCCCTAGGAGTTGTATTGGTGAAGAAATTCCTTTGGCATATGTCTGAGATTTTGCTGCCTGTGGATTCTCTAGTACAGTGGTTCTCAACCTTCTGGCCCTTTAAATATAGTTCCTCATGTTGTGACCCAACCATGAAATTATTATCATTGCTACTTCATAATTGTAATGTTGCTACTGTTGTGAGTCGTAATGTAAATATCTGATATGCAGGATGGTTTTAGGTGACCGCTGTGAAAGGGTCTTTCGACCGCCAAAGGGGTCACGACCCACAGGTTGAGAACCGCTGCTCTAGTATTTTTATGGTTTCCCATCTTATGTTTAATTCCTTTATCCATTTTGGGTTTATTTTTGTGTATGGTGGAAGTTGGTGGTCTAGTCAAGCTGTGTTACAAAGCCACTGTTCTCAAAACAGCCTGGTACTGGCACAAGTGCAGACATATAGATTAATGGAATAGAATAGAGAACTCAGAAATTGACCCAAACCACTATGCTCAATTAATATTTGACAACGGAGGCATGAACATACAATGGAGTCAAGACAGCCTCTTCAATAAATGGTGTTGGGAAAATTGGACAGATACATGCAAAAAAATGAAATCAACAGGTATATTTAAAAGTGCTTAACATCAGGGAAATGCAAATACAAAATGCAACGTGATAGCACCTCACCCCTGTCAGTATGTCCATTGGCAAAAAATAAATTAAATTAAATAAGACAAGTGTTAGCAGGATATGCAGAAGTCAGGACTCATTCACACTATTGATAGGAATGCAAAAAAAGGTGCAGCAATAATGGAAAACGGTATGTTTTTTCCTCAAAAAATTAAAAACAGACTTACTATATTTTCCAATAATACTACTAATGGGAATTTATCCCAAAATAATTAGATCAGGATCTCAAAGAGATATTAACAATCCTATACTTATTGCAACACTATTCTTCGTTCTTGTTTAAAGGATAAGAGAGGGAGTAAGAAAAACATGCATGTGAGAGTGAAATATCTATGGGCTGCCTCTATGGGCTGCCACATGCATGCCCCCCAGGGGCACTCTCTGGTGCATGGAACAACACCCAACTGAGCTGCACTAGCCAGAGCTGCAGCACTACTCTTAATAGGCAAGATGTGGAAACAACTTAAATGTCCTTGGACAGAAGAGTAGATACGTTAAAAATGCTATGTACATACAATAGAATACTATTCAGTCTTTTAAAAATCTGAAATATGCTACATGGATAAACCTTGAAAACATGTGCTAAATGGAATAAGCCAGTCATTGAAAGACAGTATTGCATGATTCCACCTAATATAGTCAAATTCATAGAGTCAAAGAGTGGAATGATAGTTTCCAGAGGTTGGGTGGAGAGTGAATTAGGGAGTCACTGTTCAAGGGGCAGAAAGTTTCCATCACACTAGATCAGTGGTCGGAAAACCACAGCTTGCGAGCCATCTGCGGCTCTTTGGCTCCGTGGCATGGGCTACGAAGTTTCAATCGCACTGTACGTGCGCACCCACACGTGGTATTTTGTGGAAGAGCCACACTCAAGGGGCCAGTTTGCTGACCACTGCACTAGATGAATAAGTTATGAAGATCACTGTACATATAGTTAACTAGCATATTGTACACAAAAATTTTGTTAAGGGAGTTGATCTCATGTAAATGTTCTTTCCACAATAAAAGAAAAATTGGGTATGAGTGAATCAGTACACAGATCCATAGAAAAATGTTTACTATATTGCCGAGGCCGGTTTGGCTCAGTGGATAGAGCATCGGCCTGCGGACTGAGAGGTCCCAGGTTCGATTCCGGTCAAGGGCATGTACCTGGGTTGCGGGCACATCCACAGTAGGAGATGTGCAGGAGGCGGCTGATCGATGTTTCTCTCTCATCGATTTTCTAACTCTCTATCTCTCTCCCTTCCTCTCTGTAAAAAAATCAATAAAATATATTAAAAAAAAGAAAAATGTTTACTATAATATACTATAATCCTATCTAATAAAAGAGAAACATGGTAATTAGCCGTACGTCCACTACCCTTCCCATTGGCTAATCAGGGCGATATGCAAATTAACTGCCAGCCAAGATGGTGGTTAACCACCAACAAAGATGGCGGTTAATTTGCATACGTAGCCACAATGCTGGGAGGAGATAAGGGAAGGACTGAAGAATGGTGATCCGCAACCCAGGTGGCAGGCAAGAGCTGGGGGGTGGGCAAAGGCCGCCTTCAGCCGGTGATCGCCATCGGAAAGCCAGTTGGGGTTGCTGGCTGGCCTGCGCCCAGCAATTGCCATGACTATCCGAGGGCGGGAGGGCCTGCACCCTGCAATCAGAGGGCGGGAGGTCCGAGGCACAGGTCAGGCCGCAACCCCAGTCATCCCGGGAGCCAGGGTTGCCGCTGGCCTCCGCCCAGCTATCGCCATGGCAATGGGAGGGCGGGAGGGCCAGGGCACAGGCCAGTGGGCAACCCCGGACTCCCGGGACAGGCGGCTGGCCTGCAGCCCCGAGATCGCCATGGCGATCAGAGGGCGGGATGGCCTGGGAGCAGGCCAGGTGGCAAACCTGACCCCCGAGAAGCCCCCTGCCCGCGTCCCTGTGCAGCCACAGAAACCGCCTTCCCCCCGCCCCTGTGCAGCAGCAGAAGCTGACAGCCCTAGCCTGTGTGCAGCCTCTGAAGCCGCCTGCCCACAGCCTGTGCAGCCACAAAAGCCGCCTGCCGCCGCCTGTGACCTGATCCAGTCCCGGGTTGCAGGCCTGCGCCCCTGTGCGGCTGCAGAAGCCACCAGCCCCGTGCCTGTGTGCAGCCGCAGAAGCCGCCTGCCTGCCGCATCCCACTATGATCCACTGAGTTATGAGGCCAGAGAGCAAGAAGAACTTCTACCCCTCAGTCAAAGTGGGGAGCGGAGGACACGGCCTCCCCTCCTAAAGTCGCTAAAGGACAGGACCTAACCTAAGCCACATCCTCTGAGACAGCCAGGCAGGCACCACTGACCTCTCTGCAGGCCTGGCTGCCCTCCCCCTTCCCCTGTCCCTGCACAGCTCCCATAGCCCCCGGCTGGCTGACTCAGGCACAACAGGTTTGCAGCCACAGGGGCGATTTAGCAGCTAATGAAAAATGCGAGAATGAACAAATGAAGCAGCTACTGCAGTGGGGAAAAGACAAGACGTTCATCAAATTCGTTGTCTCTGAGAAACTGAGGCAGCCAGCACAGGCCCCTGCACAGGATGAGGCTTCTGCTTCTAAAGAAACGTCCTGGGGTTAGAGGTGAGGGGGTGCTGCCTTTCCCATCTCAGAGCTCTAGGAGGAGTCTGTGCTCCCCCTCCTGGTATTCTTAACACCCAGAGACCCCTCCGAAGTCCAGCCAGGAATGTTCCATGCTGACCGCCTCCAGAAAGCAGAGAACAAAGAGGCACTTCTTGACTTCAGGCCTCTAAACCAGTGGTTCTCAACCTTGGCTGCACATTAGAATCACCTGGGAATCTTTTCAAAATCCTGATTTCTGGGCCTCATCCTCTGGAAATTCTGTTTCTTTGTTATGGGGTAGAGCCACAACATTAGTAACAAAGAAACAGAATTTCCGGAGGATGAGGCCCAGAAATCAGGATTTTGAAAAGATTCCCAGGTGATTCTAATGTGCAGCCAAGGTTGAGAACCACTGCTCTAAACAGACTTGACCACTGCGGGCAAAGACCTGCAGCTGAGAGGGGGCAGGTTCTGGGTGTCCAGGTCCAGAGCATGGAAGACCTCCTGGGGGATCAGTGCATCCGGAAGCCTGTGTGCTGGGTCAGAGACACGCCTGCCTCCCACCCTCCCCTGCCCTGCACATAGACGTGCCTGGACTGGGGTGAGGAGGAGAAGGAGAACTAGAGGGAAGGAACACTGAGTGTTTGTTGGCGGCCATGTAAAAAGGACTGTGACCCTCCCCTCTCACTGAGTCACTCCCTAAGGCAGCAGGAGACGGAGGGTCTGAGAGCAGCCACACAGCTTTGTGGCCATGACCAAGGCACCAAGATGGTGTCCATGCAACGGGGCTGAGGAGGTGTCAGAGGACCTCACCCCAGAAAACCCAATAGCTCTTTGTGTGAGAGAGAGAGAAGGTGGCAGGGAGGGAGGGAGACAGCAAATTGGACTCAAGAGGCCTCAAGGCCCAGATGAGGAGAATATACCAGGGATCAGCATGGACTTGAGCTCTGAGGTGAGGGTCAAGGGCAGCTGGGTGGGGGCCAGCCCAGACAGAAGACTGAGGTCCAGATGTTCTTGACCCTGCTCGGTTCTTTGGCACCTCTGCCTGAGATATAAACTGTCTGACATGGAAGTACAACTCCAGAGAAGGGGGTGGGGAACCTAAGTTAAATAATATTTTGTTTTTGTTTTTTCACTTGGCAGAATGGGGGCTGAAGTTGAAGTTAGGTTTGGTTACTAAACAATAAAGAAAGCAACATTTCTTACACACCCGACTGTGTGGTCTGAGTTTGCTGCTGCCTATAAACCGAGAAAAAGCTGTAAAATGAAGTACTAATCTCTAGGGTTTAGGTCAGACCGAGGAGTAGTGCCACTCAGCCAGAAGCTGGCTCATGGCTGGCCAGTGCAGTGATGGTGGCAGGACCTACTCCCACCTCCGTGGCAGCACTAAGAATGTCCAACTAACAGTTTAGGCCCTACCCTTGGGGGCCTAAGCCTTTAGTCGGACATCCCCCGAGGGCTCCCTGGCTGCCAGAAGGATGTCTGACTACAAGCTTAAGCCTGATCCCCCGGGGAGTGGGCCTAAGTCAACAGGTGGATATCCCCCAAGGGGTCCTGGACTGCAAATGGGCGCAGGGCGGGCTGAGGGATGCACCTTTCATCCCCCCCCCCCGACTGCACAAATTTTGTGCACCGGGCCTCTAGTCTATATATATAAAGAGCCAGGGTCCGTAACATCCAAAACAACCAAAGGCTCGACTGAATGCCAGGCTGTGCGTGCAGCAGGCTCCAGGGGGCAGGAACTGACCAGCTGGCTGAACTGCTGAATTCTCAGAGAGAGAGAGAGAAGCGGGGCTGATCAGCAGCCTGCGGATAAGAACCTGCTTCTCTCTCCGGGACTTGTCATCAGCCGAGCCTCTCTCTCTTTCCAAGAGATCAGCAGTTCAGCCCACTCACCAGCAACCTGGGGCAGTTGCAGATCAGCTGTGCCTCTCTGATCAGGCCCAAAGATAGGCCCAGAGACGCTGACTGGCATATAAACTGACCAATCAGGACCAAATCTGGGTGAACTGTGAGGAACCAGTGGCTACCTAGGAGGCGGAGCTTTTGACACTGACTGGTATAGAAACTGACCAATCAGAACCTCATCTGGGTGAACTGCTAAGGCAGAACCTAAGGTGGGGGCTGAGGAGGGGTTTTAAGGGCAACAGCTCTTTGGTATAAGGTGTAAGAAAGAGGTTCAATTTTTTAATTGAGTTTGGCAATATAGTGCATATGGCTGGCTATCAGTCCAGATATAGGGATTATATGTTTTTGTCTGCCAAGAGAATCTCCTCCTGCTGAAAAAGGCTCCCCCCATTTAAGCAATCCTATCCTATATAATCTATGTATACTAACAAAAGGGTAATATGCTAATTAGACCGGGTCGACTGGCCATCTTCCAGACATCCGACTTCCTTCCGGACAAAGCCATGGTGGTGGGGGCTGAGGCAGAGGCAGTTAGGGGTGATCAAGCAGGCAGGTAGAGGCAGTTAGGGGCGATCAGGCAGGCAGGCAGGCACTGAGCAGTTAGGAGCCAGCAGTCCCAGATTGTGAGAGGGATGTCTGACTGTCGGTTTAGCCCCGATCCCACAGGGATTGGGCCTAAATCAGCAGTCAGACATTCCCCAAGGGGTACCCGATTAGAGAGGGTGCAGTCTGGGCTGAGGGAACCCCTCCCCCCATGCACAAATTTTGTGCACCAGGCCACTTGCATACTATAATGTTTACAATAATATATATATATATATATATATATATATATATATATATATATTATGCAAATGAGGTGGAGACTCTGTCATGGTCACGACCAGCTCAGGAGAAGGGGCCAGGCTCTGCCCAAGCCTGAGAGATCAACACAGAGGGGTGCCTGCTCAGAGTTCCTGCAGTGTGGCTGAGGGCAGGCCCCCAGCGGACACACACACACACACACACACACACACACACACACTCATACACACACAGGGTGCCTGCTCCCAGTCTCAGATGCGGCTGGGGGCAGGCCCCCAGCAGACACACACAAACACACATGGGGCGCCTACTCTGAGCCTCCATGATGCCCCAGTGGACACACACACACACAAGGCACCTGCTCTGAGCCTCTGTAGCTAGACTGCTGCTAAGCTGTCAGTAGGACATACCCTGAGGGCTCCTGGACTGTGAGAGGGGGCAGGCTGGGCTGAGCAACCCTCACCACCCCAGTGCGTGAATTTTGTGCACTGAGCCACTAGCCTATCTATCTATCTATATATCTATATATCTATATATCTATATATCTATATATATATATATACCCAAAGACCCTTATGGCGGAAAGACCAGAATGACCAGTCATTATGACTCATACTGACCACAGCAGGAGCGCCACTCAGCCAGAAGCCAGGCTCATGGCTGGCAAACACAGCAGCAGTGGCAGGAGCCTCTCCCACCTCCACAGCAGTGCTAAGGAGCAGCGAGCCAAGTGGTAATGAGCAAGCAGGCAGGTGGTAAGGAGCAAGCGGACAGGCAGGTAGGAGGCAAGGGTCCTGGATTGAGAGAGGGCGCAGGCCGGTCTGAGGGACCCCCTTCCACACACACGAATTTTGTGCATCAGGCCTCTAGTATACTATAATATACTATAAAATATTAAATAAAGATAAATTTTATACACTACTGAATGAGTTTACTTTTACCTGAATTAAAATGTATGTTACATTTTATATTTCCCAGAACTATTTTTCTCTGTTTTCATTATGAATTATATTCAGGTACAATCATCTGTGTTTTTACTTTTCCATGGAATCAATTGATCCATTCATCTCTATCCTACTCTTTTGCTTGCTGAACTAGAGATAAAAGATACACTCCTTTTATTACCAAAATTTGGTCTACCTTCATAGGAAACATCTACAAAGCTAGTGGATATTCTAGACCTATGCAGTTGTCCTTTTATAATTTGTATATTTTTTATACTCTCTTTCAAGTATTATGCATTTCACAATTTAAAAAATAATCATAAAACTATCTGCCAGTATGGAGGTAGAAGTTCTTAATAAATCTTAAGAGACTCCCTAGAAATTCTTACTCTTGATGCATGAAAATAGCTTGAAGTGTGAGTACTTGGAAGAAGCACTATAAATCAGTGAAAAGGGATTGTAGAGGTGAAGTAATTAATATTTATTTCTGAATTTTACAAAGTCCTTTATTTTTTTTTAATTTTTACAAAGTTATTTAAGGATGCACTTTCAATTTTTTGCTATAAAAATAAAATAACTGAAGTTACTATACCAAATTGTTTTGTAATTCATTTTTTAGAAATTTTATCCTTTTTTTTGCATCCATTATATGCTGTGAGATAGCCTCAAAAATTACATTTTTAAAAATTCTGTTTAGAAAACCCATTACAAATTTAACATCTTTCCCCTTTATTTCCATTATATTTTTTCTCTTTCTCTATCACAATATACTACTTAAATAAATTGATAGTTAAGAACAGGATAAACCTTTTTATTTGGTTCCTTTCTGTAAAAGAAATCAGAGATAAAGAGTAAGAACTTTCAGATTAGATTATGGTATTTACATAATTTAGGTT